AGCACCTAGATCTGTTTATAGTAATACAAAAAGACACAAAAGTCTCAGTTTTTACATTATGGAACATCCAAATGTAGTATTATCTGAACAGGAACACACAGACAGCCATCTCCTAAAAACAGCCAGTATTCACACTGTGCCTCTAACTTGTGAGATGACCACCACCATTTGGTATTACGTGTCCCTGACCAGACGCGAACACACACAGGGTAAACAGTCCAACGAACAATTACTCGTGACATTGCAGTGAAAAAATATATTCTTAGTTAATAAAGTTATTTTTGTCTGGAAGCAACTCCTCTGTTGCCACCTAGGCGCAAACTTTCCTGTCTCCTAACTGGAGGGGCAGAATGTAAACATGTTGGCTGCTTATATGCAGCGTATTATGCAATATTTTACAATTAGGCCCACCTTCAACCCAATGGTATTGTTTTATACCATCTTGAACATTTTCAATTGATTGATTTCTTAATAGAAGAGAAAAGAAGGCCAGAAATGTGACGAATATGGCATTATCTTGAAGAAATTGGTGTCTAACTGTACTTCTATGACTCCATATATATCCAAATTCCTCACAAAATTAACTTTAGAGTTTTGTATGTGTAACCTCCAAAAAAAGGAGACATGAACTCTTTATGTAGTTGTGAAACATTGAGCAAGTTTATCGAGTAATCCCATTTGCTTTCACAACCTCCATTGTTTTAATGATTTATTTCAAGTGACAAACACCGATGTCAACACCAGCTCAATAACAGCTTGGCTCCATTCTGATGCCCTGTACATTTCCCCTCACTATGAGGACAGTGAAAGCACCGTGACCTCACACCCAGGTGTTTCTTCCTCTCTGCTCCAAGATAAACTTGGCACCGTGCGATCGAAACGAGACGTCTTTCTGATACAAACAACGGAGAGTGAAGGGCGATCGCTGTACCCAGCCTCTGCTCCCCCTCACTATATCAGACAGTGCCATCTTTAGTGAGGACACATTGTTCCAGTCAACACTTCCTATGATGAAACGGATCCACTGAAGGCATGTCCAGGTATTGTGTCTTTTTAATCTGAAAGTTGGTTTTGAGTTCATGATTGTTGAGGTGGATTTCGAAAGGTCAGTTTACATCAAGAATTAAGCTTTGTTGTTCTTGGGAGGAAACTAAGATTTATGTCAGATTTTAGGCCTGAGTTGAGAGCTGAATAGAATACGGAGAAAGGTACAGTATATTATATAATAAATATGTAAGGTAACTTAAGACAGTATACTAGCCCATAGAAGAAACTAAAAAGAACAGATGGTGGCCATTAACTTGTTCCAGGTCTGAGTATTGTTTTGCTTGCCTGATTATAGTTTCATTATAGCAACATTACCAGAGAGGCAAGTGAGAAAGAAAAATGATGGCGATCGAAGTCTGATTTAAAGTGTTTTCTGTCCTGTTTTTAAGACAAGCAAAACAAAAAAAATTCAGGACAGTCTTTTTAGGTTCCATAAAAAAAAGTTGTATCTGTAAATAATGGCCAAAATGTTGTTTATATTTGTTGTTTATTTTTGTAAAGTATTATTGTTTTTAACTGTGAAAAACATTTTAAAATTATTTTTATTGAAATTAATCATTGTTTCTCTTGAAAGATACATGTCTTACTTATCCAACAAAATGCTTTATGTGTCTTTAATGCTGTTAGTCCCATTTATTGCATGGTTAGTGGTGCATTTCAGCCTCTTGTGGTTGACATGAGTATTACAACAACGAACACAGTTGTCCTGACAAAAAATGCTTTGTTCCACGTTTAAACGTTAAACTTGTTCCGTAAACATTGTCTACCAATATGTCCATGTATTATCATATTCGACTGTGACATGATGTTTGATTGTTTCTGTCTTTACTTTTCTTTTGCTCAGCCAGGGTGAAGGATGGTCACACAGAGGAGCAGACGCTGTGTGATGCTGCTTCTCTCTCTCACCCCATCAATCTTCCCCCCTCTGCCCATCTCCTTCCTCCCTGCTCTCACCCTCTCCGCCTGGCCTGCTCTATCATTATCTGTAACAGCCTCCACCCTTCCTGTTGGCAACACCAGCATATCAACCATTTCTAACGCCCTCCCCACTCCTGCGATCACCTCCACCATCAGCCCAACATATATCCACCTCTTTGACCAAACTTCCCCCAGAAAAAGCATAATTTCCTCAGATACCTTGCTTGTTAAAAAAGCCCCTCTGCACGAAAACCCACTATGCAATTCGTCCAAAGTGACTCCTGTGTCTTCTGACAAACTACCTCTTCACACGGCTGAACATCCAACAAGTTCCCCATCTTCTCCTCTACCTCAAAGTTCTTCTACCCAACATCTCTCTGTTTCAACATCATTCCTCTCCGCATCCTTCTTCACCACTCAAACATCACCGCCTCCTTTTGCCAAAACTTCACCCAAAATCCTCACATCTCCCCCAGAAGCAGCATCCTCTCGTCGGACCAAACCACTTCTGCCTCCCCCCCTCCCCCACACCACAGTCCCGATGTTCCAGCACCAGCCTTTCATTGTGAGTTGGAACATTCCTGATCGGGTGTGTAAGAGGTACAACATCTCACTGGACACCTCGCCCTTTAAAGGAGTGGCAACACCTGCTAAGGTAGGAGGAAATGTTTGAATTATATACGTGCATCTCATTTATTTAACTATTACATTCAAATCCAGGGTGGGAAAGCACATGCTGTAACCAAATCACAAACTAATTTACATGAAGCTATTATGGAAGGACATTTATGGTGATGTGTTTTGTCATTCGTAGCCTACAGCTATCAGCGAGTTGTTGCATGTTTGTACATGTCTGGAACAATGATAGATTGTTTCTTGTTTCGACATGTTTTACAACTCCAGTTGCATTACAGGTTGATTTATAGAGGCCTTTTATTAATGGAAATCATACATCTGTTCTTGATGTCTTTTTTTGCAGACATGGCACTTTCAGCACATTAAACAAAGTACAGAACAATTTGTTTGTTAAAGGAAAGAAAAATACCCATCCCCTATCCCCTACCCCTACCCCATCACAGCAAATAGGAAACAATGAAAAAAAAAAAAATGATAATAATAGGGAAAACATTTTTTATCTAAAAGATAAGGGGCGTGGTTCGGCCCGACTCAGACGCGGAGGGATACTGACTTGTTGTGAAAAGTACAATTCTACCCGTGATATCCACTCATTATATCACGGCTAAGAACCAATCAGATTGCTTGATTTGACATGTCCGTTTTATAATTAAGCAATAGCCAGGGCCGCCCCTCCCTACAGGCCAATCACGCAGGCTGCATGGGGCCCCGCCTTGCGCAGGGGGCCCCGCCCAGAGGGCCTCAGCTGCTGTGCGCAGTTCTCCGCTCAGTTCTCCGCGAACCCCGGCTGACACGCGAGAGTGAGAGGTGACAAGGGGAGCAGGTCTGTAATCCGACACCGTTGCAATGAATCGACATCTGACCAATCACGGCTTTGATACCGCCACTAGTGCAGGTGAAGAGATGTCGGTGAAAAGACAGTTTCAGTCCGGCACAAGCTAGAGTGAAAAAAAAAAAAAACTTGAAGAAACTAGAGCACTCGAAGGTGGGTTATTGTCAAATGTACAACTTGCGAATGTTGTATAAGTCAAATTGCCAATTGCCATATTAAAACATCAGCTGCATTTCACGACATGAAGAAGGCAGTCTCTGCAGAGCATACAGGCTAATGGAGATGCAGTTATTTCCAGCATTCTTTATTTACCATTCATTCAAGTATGTGATGCCTTTTATCTGCTAACGTACAGGAGGAAGAGTGATACACTGTCTGTCTAGTTGGCTTACATAACAGTTAAAGTTTGCAGCCTAAAAAACATGGAGCATTTTTCCCCCTTATATTCATTTTTATGTCAATTTGCACATTTCATGGTGATGCTCAGCCTCTCCCCTTAACTCCTAACAGTCATCGTCATGGTGATGCTCAGCCTCTCCCCTTAACTCCTAACAGTCATCGTCATGGTGATGCTCAGCCTCTCCCCTTAACTCCTAACAGTCATCATCATGTCAACCACAATACAGAGAAATACTGATAGAAATGTGTGTGTAGTTGTTGATGCATTGCTGACAGAGGGAACTACATTTGAATACAGATTTAAGAAATATCAGTTTTTGAGCATGTCATATCATAAGCATGTTTTGTCTTGACTATACAACTATATTATAATAAAATAATATAGTATTTATATTATTGAATTGATTATGATTATTATTATTATTATTAGTAGTAGTAGAAGTTGTTTATTTGCATTAATTATATTTTAATCTTTTTGAGGCTAGTATTTGGCAGGAAATGCAGACGTATTCACCTGTAAACGCATACTGAACGACATACATGCACAACCATTTACCTCACTGCATAAAAAAGTGTTGATAATAATAATAAACAGGAATTATATTTGCAAAGTAGCCTACTTTGTTTCCAAACATTTTTTTTCCCACTCCTGTCGGTTGGGGGGCGGGGCCTCATCTCACAATGTCGCTTGGGGCCCCAAGTTGGCCAGGGGCGGCCCTGGCAATAGCTCACGACAGGCCGTGGTATATGCTCATTATATCACAGCTAAGGGGCGTGGTTCGGCCCGACGCGAAACGGTTACCAAGTGTGGCAATATGAAAGAAAATACACACTCTAATTTAAATAGTTTTTATTAGTAAATAATGATGTTCAAAATAAAATAGTCCCTCCGTTGCCTTCTGCACGAAACATAGTGCGAGGTGGTTGCTATGCAACAACACTAACAGCTAGCGAACATATTAGACAGAGAGCGTTGATCCATTATTTGGCTATTTATTTACATGCATGTGTATGCTGCCGTTTATTGTGCAGCCACTGAAAAACTGTCCAGCATCAGTAGCATGGCTTACGTGGTTACGTGTATAGGTTGAGGTTGTTCTAGGGGCTGTTGATTGGCGTGGCGAGAATATTGCTCCACTTTCTCCGGTCCCCGAGATCCGGCTTCCAGTAGCTCTGGAGAGAGCTTTCGCACCTGTGGCCACTAACGGTCATACTTTCTCTGCTTTGTTTCAAGACCCGCATCAGAAAGCTTTTGAATGGTGGTACTTTTCCAGTTGGTCTACCTGCTCTTCACGTAGCTCTAGCTGCATGTCGTCGTGTAGGTGCTTTTTTCCCCCTGGAGATAGGCACTGCTCAATCCACTCCTCCATAGTAAGAAGACCCCCCCGGAGGTCGAAGTTAATCTTAAATGTTTCCATTTTATGCTTTGTAAGTTTGTTTCGTAACGGAAGAAATGGAAATATATAAAACTGACAAGTCAAATCAAGCAATCTGATTGGTCGATAGTGTTTTTGCGGACCTCTTTGATTACAGATTTGAAAACATTGTTGCTTGCTTTAAAAGTAGCTCAATTCATTATGTCAAACCTTGGAAAGCAGGCCCGGACTGGCCATCGGGAGGACCGGGAGGTTTCCCGATGGCCTGGCCTGTTAAGTGGCCTGCTGGCCTGAGGATTTTTTTTAAAATGTATATATTGTGAACGCAACGCTGCGCAAATGTGGGTCTGACTCTGCCTCACAGAGGGTGACTGGCTGTCTACATGATGTGGTCTGCCGACATGGCCACTTTCATACAGATCATACACTAAAGCCCTCGATTGGTCTCTCATTCAAGCTCGGGAGGGTGTGTATGTGTGGCGGGCGCGAGCGTGCGAGAGAGAGAGAAAGCGCGCGCACCGGTTACGTGTTTTGTTGTTGTTAGCATCTGGTGCTAGCTAGCGGCGCTAATGGATATAATGAGCTGACTGTCAACAAGGTGGAGGAGAGTCCTCTGCTGTCAGACTGAGAGACTGATAACTACAGCTCAGGTGAGGTAAAGGACTCTCTGAGTGTTTAGATAGTTAACTTAGTCTGAGTTATCTCAGTGGGTCTCAAACGGTTTGGTCACCATTTATGTAAACACATATTTCCATTTGAAGGGGGAGTGATTAGTAAAATATGCATGAATAATAATTTAAAAAAATTAACTAGGTGAAAAAAGGCAAGATAAACTTAAAAAACTTGTTGAGAGCTAAAACTAGTGTTTGCTGCTGCCTCAAAGAGGAGAGGGGGGAGACGGGGGAGGCTGGTTCAGCAGCACAGACACACTCACAACTATAAATGAACCAAAAACAAATAAATAAACAAGTTTCAATGTTTTTTCATATTGGATATGGTATGTTATTGGTTATGGCCATGTTCTTATGATTTTATGATTATTTAAATGTATACTGTTCTGTTTCATATGGTGTAGTCGGGCGCTGGTGTAGTCTCTTTATTTCCCCCTCAAAGTGCACCAGATTTATGCATTTAAGTCCAACATTTAAAAAGAAAAAAAATCTTACGGGGGGGGGGGCATGCCCCCGGACCCCCCTGGGGGAATTGAGCTCCACCTCCACTTAAAATATGTTCACATGGATAGGTTCCTAAATAGATTTGCACATTTTTTTTAAATAGTAACCCATGTCCATATGTTTATTCTGGGGTAGTAGATTTAAAGTTTAGGGCTATCACTATGGGCAGCAACGCTGTAAATATTGACAAATACATCCAGGAAAATGGCACAAAAGAAAACTGGTAGTGGCCTGGCTGGGTGTATAATTCCCGGCCTGACTTATTGTCCCAGTCCGGCCCTGTTGGAAAGTATCTAGATATCCCTGCCATAATGCCAAAGGAACTGCACACTGAATAGGCCTATATGTTTTGATGTCTATGTCTGGACCGCTGCGTAAAAAGGAGGGTTTCTGCCCCGTTACTTCTCCGCTGCTTTCTTGTTCCAGTTTGCAGCCCAACGGTATACTGTTTTACTCAGACGCGGAGGGATACTGACTTGTTGTGAAAAGTAACTTACAATTCTACCCGTGGTATACGCTCATTATATCACGTCTAAGAACCAATCAGATTGCTTGATTTGACTTGTCCGTTTTATAATTGTTCTTTTATCACAAGTTTGTTGAAATGTAATGTTTAAACATACCAGGCAATATGTGATAATTTGCGTGCATTGAGTAATCAGAACATTGGGTAAAGACCCAAATAAAACCAGATAAAATACAAGACAGTAACAATACAATATAATAATAGAATAAATATAAAATGTTTGCATCACTTTGTCTTGTTCCTGCTGCAGGTCCCAGGTCAGTTCCTGTCTCTGTTCTACACTGACCGGCTGGGTCTTTACCCACATGTAGACCTGACCAGCAGGAAACAGCTGAACGGTGGCATCCCACAGAGAGGGGACCTGAGGGCCAGTTTGAACAAGGCCAGAGCCGACATCAACTACTACATCACATCCAAGTGAGCATTTCTCAATGAAATAATGTGCCCTTTATTGATGACACGTGTGCTCTCATGCAAAATGCACTTTTTAATGTCTTTTATACATAAATATGTGTCCCCAGTGTGTCAGGGAACTCACAAAGTGCAAAACCCTCTCTCGTTTCCTCCGTATCCAAATCTCTAAAAACGGGGGTACAAAGGAGCTGATCCTCGATATGACGTACTATCGGAAATACGGGCTGGCTTTACACCCACATTAAAGGTCCCCATACTGTTTTTCATCAATATATTATAGGTCTCAGATATATACAGAACCTGTCTCTGAAGTATATGGCTCCAAACACCAAACAGATAATTGCAGCATTACCCATAATCCCCTCTGTTTCAGCCCTGCTTCCAAAGTGCTGATTCTCTGTCTGTTACTTTAGATGAAAATAAGGAGCCCCTCCCCACGCCCCTCTGAGAAAGATTTGGTAAGAACTCAATGGTGCTCTAGGAGGAGATTCAGGTGATAAGGTGGGGGGGGGTTACCTTGGTTGCTGATTGGCTAATGGTTACACAAGACAAAACATCGTTATGACATCATAAATTGGCCAAAATCTGATCAGCTCATTTTCAGACAGGTTTTTATAGAAATGGATCAGGACAAAAAGAGAGAGAATCTTTGTTCCTGAAACTTTCAGAGTCTCTTTCCACAGAGGGGACACATGTTGATGTAGAAGAGACATGAAGAAGAGGGGACACATGTTAATGTAGAAGAGACATGAAGAAGAGGGGACACATGTTGATGTAGAAGAGACATGAAGAAGAGGGGACACATGTTGATGTCGAAGAGACATGAAGAAGAGGGGACACATGTTGATGTAGAAGAGACATGAAGAAGAGGGGACACATGTTGATGTCGAAGAGACATGAAGAAGAGGGGACACATGTTGATGTAGAAGAGACATGGAAAAGTGGATTTTGTATAATAGGTGACCTTTAAAGCTTTAGACCCAGAATAAGCACTTCTCTAACAGGGCTGAAATAGAGGGGTATGAGGCATGGCTAAAATGGGTGATCTGTTTGGTATTTTGAGCAAGACATTATTTTCATATATCTGAGACCTATACTATATGCCTAAAAATAGCATAATAGGAGACTTGTAAAAACGTGTACTTCTCCTCTCCATTACTTCCAGGACGAGCCGAGGCCTGGCTGTGATCGACTGGGAGGAATGGCGCCCCCTGTGGGACAGGAACTGGGGCGCTAAAATAATCTACCAGACTCTTTCTGTGGCTCACCTCCTGCAGACTGAGCACTCCCTCAATCTGCAGCAGGCCACAGAAAGAGCCAAGACTCAGTTCCAGGTCAGGACACCCACTGTGGAAATGAATAAAACACAAGAGTGTGAAAAGACAACTCAGTAACTCGAATACTGTACTGAATTTTGAAGTGATTATCAGAAATCCTTTATTCGGCCCACAAAGGTGAAATGTACAATGTTACAGCAAAGTGAAAAAATAGATGAAGAAACCTTTTCCATAAAAGGCATTTACATAGTATTTAAAATACAAATTATTACAATTTAATGAAAAAAAAATTCAGGTAGAAAAAAGGTCAATCGACTATATACTGTATTACACAAAGTTAAGAAAGAAGGTCATAAATATGAATAATTCGCATCAGAAATGTGTCTACAAAAGTAAAAACGTATGTGATACTGATATAAATAATAATTGGGAGTTCATTTTTCTGCAGAATAAGTACTTTTCCATACTTTTACTTTTAAATGTGTTGCTGTATTTGAACAGTATAGGTCATTGTGGAGAAACCAGCTCGAGTACGCTAGAATTTGAAAATACACAGCCGGCACAAATCTGCCACTTCCTTACAGAGCCCCTCCTCCAACACACACGAACGCGCACATGACCAATGAGGGCACGAGATAAGTGTGTGCCCAGATGGAAGGCTGACAGGCAGGTAGGCCGTCCAGTTACTTTAGCCGGGCCGGCTCAGATGATTGGTCGTGCTTTTTACAGCACGACAGCTTCCACAGATGACTTTTTTAATGGATTTTTTGTCAAAGCACTTACGATATTCATTGCTATCGGGATGTTAAGAGCATTCCATGGAATACAACAAAAAGTGCATCTCGAGCCGGCTTCTCAAACGTATACCCCACCTTTAACAAATGATCTGAATTCTTCATCCACCACTGCTTCTTCTTTCCTTTCCTTCTCTTTTAGGTGGCAGCTAAGAGTTTGATGTCCGGGATGTTGGCGATTGGCCGAGCCATGAGGCCTAACTACCTGTGGGGCTTCTACCTGTTCCCTCACTGCTACAACTACGGCTGGGAGGAGCCTTTTTACACCGGCCGCTGCTCCAGGGAGGTGAGGAGGCAGAACGACGAGCTGCTCTGGCTGTGGGAGTCCAGCTCTGCGCTCTACCCCTCCATCTACCTACAGGTTGGGCAATAATCAAAGTCAAAGTCAACTTTATTGTCAATCTTTCAGTTTGTGTGTACAGACAGAGAGATCGAAATACCGTTTCCCACAATCCTGAATACAAAAACAATATATACAAATATGTATGCAAATATGTATATACCTATATACACAATCAAAGACATGCACAATCATACATATGCACACATTAAAGGTCACCTATTATGCAAAATCCACGTTTTCATGTCTTTTATAGCCATGTGTCCCCTCTTCTTCATGTCTCTTCTACATCAACATGTGTCCCCTCTTCTTCATGTCTCTTCTACATCAACATGTGTCCCCTCTTCTTCATGTCTCTTCTACATCAACATGTGTCCCCTCTTCTTCGTGTCTCTTCTACATCAACATGTGTCCCCTCTTCTTCATGTCTCTTCTACATCAACATGTGTCCCCTCTTCCTCATGTCTCTTCTACATCAACATGTGTCCCCTCTTCTTCATGTCTCTTCTACATCAACATGTGTCCCCTCTTCCTCATGTCTCTTCTACATCAACATGTGTCCCCTCTTCCTCATGTCTCTTCTACATCAACATGTGTCCCCTCTTCTTCATGTCTCTTCTACATCAACATGTGTCCCCTCTTCTTCATGTCTCTTCTACATCAACATGTGTCCCCTCTTCTTCATGTCTCTTCTACATCAACATGTGTCCCCTCTTCTTCATGTCTCTTCTACATCAACATGTGTCCCCTCTTCCTCATGTCTCTTCTACATCAACATGTGTCCCCTCTTCTTCATGTCTCTTCTACATCAACATGTGTCCCCTCTTCTTCGTGTCTCTTCTACATCAACATGTGTCCCCTCTTCTTCATGTCTCTTCTACATCAACATGTGTCCCCTCTTCCTCATGTCTCTTCTACATCAACATGTGTCCCCTCTTCTTCATGTCTCTTCTACATCAACATGTGTCCCCTCTTCTTCATGTCTCTTCTTCATCAACATGTGTCCCCTCTTCCTCATGTCTCTTCTACATCAACATGTGTCCCCTCTTCTCCATGTCTCTTCTACATCAACATGTGTCCCCTCTTCTCCATGTCTCTTCTACATCAACATGTGTCCCCTCTTCTTCATGTCTCTTCTACATCAACATGTGTCCCCTCTTCTTCATGTCTCTTCTACATCAACATGTGTCCCCTCTTCTTCATGTCTCTTCTACATCAACATGTGTCCCCTCTTCTTCATGTCTCTTCTACATCAACATGTGTCCCCTCTTCTTCATGTCTCTTCTACATCAACATGTGTCCCCTCTGTGGAAAGAGACTCTGAAAGTTTCAGGAACAAAGATTCTCTCTCTTTTTGATCCATTTCTATAAAAACCTGTCTGAAAATGAGCTGATCAGATTTTGGCCACTTTATGATGTCATAACGATGTTTTAGCTTGTGTAACCATTAGCCAATCACCAACACTTCAGAGACATGTTTTTTATATATCTGAGAGCTATAATATATTGATGAAATACAATATAATAAGGGACCTTTAAGACCTAAATAAAAGCACAACAATCAATATATACAAAAGTAACAGTCACTTCAATATCTTTGAGAATGTACATTAGTGCAAGACTGTCCATAGCAGCGTAACAAAAACAAGTGTCTGGTGCTGGATTTGAGTGTCTGTGTGTGAAGACATGCATCCCTACTGTTCATTCTGAAATTGCACTTCCTTAGATGTTTTTTGAATGCATCCTGGCTCTGTTTCAGGTCTCTCTGGCTGACAATCCCAGAGCTGCCCTGATGGTGAGGAACCGTATCCAGGAAGCGCTGAGAGTGTCTGCTCTGCCCCAGGGACAGGGAGGAACCGCGCCTGTGTTTGCTTACATGAGAGCTGTCTTTGTTGACGAGAACAAACGCTTCCTCAGCCAGGTACCTGAGAGCCGTCCAAAGGGAGACATGTTTTAATCACAGCGTTTGGCACATTAGGAGGCACTCTCAAACAGATGACATCTCTGAAACTGTTAGAAAAATATCACTCGTCACCGGCTTGAGCTTCAATATCAGGATCCATGTATTTGTGATCCTCTCCAGAATAGAAGTCGTCATCACATATAGAGCATCAACTAGTTCCTGAACAGTGTCCTTCACATGCTGATATCCAAGAGAGGGAGTCACACAGTCACAAGATGGAGGAGTAGAAAGCAGTATTCAATGTTTACTTCCGATTAGCTCCACGTCAGAAATGAGCATGCTTGTCATATGTCTCTCTCCATAGAGGCTGAATCATCATGTTAATCACATAGCTATCATATGCCTAAAACAGTCCTGATGCTCTTCTAGGTAATCACACATCCTGTCATGTTCACAGCTACAGTTGGGATACCTTTGTTATCATATGTACTCTCATACTGAAATAGTACATTCAGTATGTTCCCAACAGAAACAGTTCATTAGTGAGTGCCCACACTTGACTAGATTAGCTACATCTTAAGTTACCTCTTCCTCTCAGCAGTGAGGTGTTTCCGTCAGGTTGGAAGAGGAGTTTGGTTTCTTGGTGTAACACCATCCTGCTCAGGTGGTAGCCCTCACCTGAGCGTGTAAACCTTATCCTGTCTTCTCACCTCGCATCAGGAGTTCATTTTACGGGAATAAGAACAGAGTAAAAGTCTGTGCACCATGCATGGAGAGGTGGAAGAAGTATTTCCTGTTTATCCATTACTTAACCCTCCTATTGTCTCTGTGTTCCCCCCTTACTTTGGTGTTTGTGGTCAAATTTGACCGGTCCTGTTTTAACTACTATTACATTAACACAAAAACCATTAATCATCACCAAATGTCATTTAACACCCTTTCAAACTGTACATATTGTATCAGACTACTGGTATACATGAACAACTGCAGTAAATATACAAAGAATAGACACTGAACATGTATTGCGTGTGCCAGGTGTGATCCATGTGGGGGGAGGGGCACATAAGAGCGGGAAATGTGTCAAATTGTTCTGTGTGTGTGTGTGTGTGTGTTTGTGTGTGCCAGGTGTGATTCACATGGGGGGGAAACACATCTAGTGTGTGTGTGTGTATGTGTGTGTGTGTAGCCTAGCATTACTACTTGTGGGGACCTAAATCTGTTTACACAGTCACGTGTGGGGATTCACCTCCCTTACAAATTGGAGGTCCCCATAAGGGGAATCATTCATTTTAGGGTGAAGACTTGTTTAGGATTAGGGTAAGGATTAGGGTAAGGTTAAGGGTAAGGGTTAGGCATGTGTTGGTTATGGTTAAGGTTAGGATAAGTCTCCAGGAAATGCTTGTAAGTCAATGTAATGTCCCCTGAAGTGATGTATACATGGTGTGTGTGTGTGTGTGTGTGTGTGTGTGTGTGTGTGTGTGTGTGTGTGTGTGTGTGTGTGTGTTTTATCTGATCCGGATGGTTACTAGTAGACCGGGAACACCATGGGTGTTACAAATTTGACTAAATCATCCAAAATCCAATGAAAGTGGTGATCAGCCATTGTATATGTTCAAATGTCTACTGTGAAGGATACCATGAAGCCTGAATGCAATCGAATGTAAAACAAAAAAGTTATGATTGATGAAAGTAGTAAATCGGTCAGAATTGATCCGAAGACAACAGGAGGGTTAAATAATGCCAAACTGTCAGTGTTATATAACGTCATTCATTGTGCAGTAAAATGTCCCCTGAGTGTTTTAACTATAGGGGACGGGTGGCGCAGTGGTCTGTGCATCCGATCATCAGATCAAGGGGGAGTGCTGGGGAACTCCAGTTCGAAACCCGCTCCTGCCGCCACTGCGTCTGTAAAGCCGGTGTGTCCTTGGGCAAGACACTTCACCTGAACTTGCTCCTGTGGGTATTGTCCACAGTATCTGACCATTGTATGATATATGTGTAATGTTTAATGTGTAATATGTAAAGCGCTTTGAGTCATTGAAAAAGCGCTATAATAAATGTAAGGAATTATTATAGGCCTATATGGTGTTTTGATCTAATATCACTGCTGCATTAATGTGTATGTTGCATTTCACTTGTTTAAGGTTGTGCTAATTTGAACTTCTTTCTTGCATTATTACACTTTAGCTGATGCTTTTATCCAAAGCAACTTACAATGTGTGCCATTAACCAAGAGGATACGTATTCTGGACTGCAAGAATCCTGCAAGTATACAAGATAAGACAAGATAAGATGGAACTTTATTTATCCCCTTGGGGAAATTCAGGCGTTTATAGCAGCAACAGGGTCAGAGTTCAAAACAGGATTCACACAAGGTAAAAATAAAGACAAAATAGATTAAAAATCAACTCCAAATAAGACAAACATGTTTAATCACAACAACCATAAATAAACAACACACTATGCATGCATGTATAATTGTCTAATTTGTGAATGCATGCGGCAATTTCTGTGTATGTACAAATAAAACAATGCATATATTTAACCATCTGTGTGCAGGCAGACTTGGTCAGCACCCTTGGGGAGAGTGCAGCAGTGGGGGTGTCCGGTGCCGTGCTGTGGGGGGCCAGCGCTGACTACGATGACCAGGTAACATCACCCTGCACCCCCCACTGACTGCTGAAAGACATGAACTGATGGCAGGTTGTGAGAGGAGACACAATGAGTTCCATCAGATGATAGAGGTCGTCTCTGTGACTGGCTGATGGATCGTGTTGGTTGGCAGTGTGACGTTTTAGTTCATCCAAGGCAGGGAAACCAGGATTAGCTCGATGAAAGTGACTCTCAATGGATGTTTAAACTCTTCTTCACTATAGAGTGGTGCAGCGGTGATGTATTTGTGTAGGTCGATCCGGAAGTTAGCAGGAAGCAATCCGATTTTCCCATTGGATTTTGGCATATAGCATGTTTTCTTCAGCAGGATAATCTCCACATATTAAAACCTCTTTGTGATTTAAATTTGTTTTAAATGCAACTGGCAACAGCTGTTTTTATGACATAGAAGACATTCAAGTGTGTTGATACAGGCTGTGCTCTCAGTGTTTTGTCTACCTGTTCCTGCCTGTTGGATATTGGGGTAGAGATATTCAGAATTGGTTTGGCATCTGCTGTGTCAACTCATGGCACACGACATGTGACACATTTTCGATAATTATTAGTGATAAACCTATTATCTTCTGGATTACGGTCACGGTTTTGAACATGCGTTTAGTTATGTGAACTAAAAACAAAAATGCAACAAAACTACTTGTAAAAGATCATGATTTGGCTTAAACAAGTTCTTTAAGTTCTGGACCTAACTTTAAACAAGCCTTGACTTTTAATTTCACTCGAGAGAGAAACTGTTGCCCTGTGTTTGTTTGACCCATTTTGCAACACTAACCTTATCATTCATGGATTTTCCTACTTCCTCTCTTGTTCCTTTTCTCCGCAGACGTCTTGTGCCGCCCTCTCCTCCTACCTCACCTCCACCCTCAACCCTTACATCACCAATGTCACCGTAGCCGCCCAGCTCTGCAGCAACTTCCTGTGCCGAGGGAATGGCCGCTGTCTCCGAAAGAACTACAACTCAAATCACTACCTCCATCTAAACCCAGAGAATTTCAGGATCTTGCATGTTCAGAAGCGCTTCCTTGTCCTGGGGAGACCTTCCCTCTCAGACTTAAAGGCTTTCAGCAGGGGGTTTAGCTGTCAGTGCTACACAGGACTGAGCTGCTCTCCCAGGACTAACAGAGAGCTAGCCAAGGCCCTGACATTTAGTGTGAAGCAAGGGCTGTACCAGAAATTTCACACTCTGAATCAAGCTATGTTGCAGGATACAAAACAAGCCGGTTTTACCAAGTACAATGGTCAAACGAATCTCAAAGTTTAGCTTGTTGTTGTTTTACCTGATGTTCTTTCACACTTCTTAAACCAAACATTCAGAACTGGAAATGACCTGGTTTTGTCATAATCCAGTGCTGGTCACATCATCTGTTATTTTTAAAGTACTTACCTCATCTTGCCTGCATATTATGACCACTGACATAATGTTACATGTGCCACAGTCTTGCCAAAGAACACAGTATTGCCAAAACTCTAACCTGCAAACAAAAACTATGCAGTATAAAGTGAGAAGCTGCAACAATAGTATTCAGCTCTGCTTGGTATTTGAATTTGATTAGACTGTATATGTACATTTACAAAGTTGTTGGTTCTGCGATGAGCTTGAATGTCACAGTCAATACACAGAGCGTGTGATGACTGAGTGAATGAAAAGTTATTGGGGGTTCATTGGGATACATTCATGGTAAAGGTGTTGCTGTTGTTAGCATAAAAAGATGATTTTGCTCACTCCTTGCACAGGTGTTTTCACTTATATTACCTTATTAAAGCTCCTTTCTTAGAACAGGTGTAACTAATCAAGATAATTAGCAGCTTTGCGAGACCAAACTTCAACCTGTGAAGAGGTCTAGTCAGAAAAGTGATGTTTTCAAGGCTATTAAAGTCACATTAATGGATTTTTAGGCCACTAGAGAAGAACTCAACAAGAAGCTAGTTAAACCGTTAGCATCCTAGCAGGCTGTTTTGGCTGTTGTTGTTAGCAAGCAGCTACCTACTTTCAAATGCTGCTAATGTGGAGCGACATTAACATTCAGTTGGACAAATGTTGATTGCTACTGGGTGAATGTAAGTAGTACTTTTATCTAATTTCACAATTTTTTAAGTCTCCAACCCCTGAGAGAAATAAACAACTAGCTTATTTGCTTGTTTTTGACCAGCTAGCCGAGCTAACTTTGTTTTGTCTTTGGTCAGGTGGTTTACAGTGTGTTTATTATGGCTTTTTCTGAAATAGCTGTGATCTGCTATTAAAAACAGGGTTATGAAAACACACATTCACAAATATGGTAAATGTGCTGTAAAAGCCAAACATAGAACATATTAAAAGAAAGGCAGCAGGGAATTGTTAGCTAAGTTTATCACTAAGGAGGCCTCTTTTACATCCCACATATTAGCTATGACAGGGTACATTTTTCAGACGCTGTATTAATGAAGGTGTGGCAAATTGTGAAGCTGCTAAATTAAAGTAAACGTGTGTTTTAACCCTTTTACACAGCAGTCCTATACTTCTGATTTAGAACGCTAATGAGTGTTTTTGTATATTCCCATTGTGGGGTTGTCAGCAGATACTGTACGTCATTGGTGTGTTGATGGTGTCCTCTGGGAGTCTGGGTTCACTTGATAACCTCCAAGGTGGTTTTGAGAAAGAGATGAGAGGTTGATACATAATTGGTAATGCAAACATATTTTAACCACTGCAGGCTTTGTGTAATGCAACAGTGAGTCATCAGAAAAACTTCCCTTTTTGTTGAACTGTCTTCTTACTGTGTTCATTTTCATATCTTAACAAGGAAGCAGTAATGAAAGATAACACAAATCCATTTTTGCATGTACCAGGAAATGACGTGTGTGTTCTACAGGCGTGGGCCAACATTACCTCATGTTGTTTGTGTACTTGTTTCCTGCCTGAGCTCAAATATGTTTAAAATGAGGTTGCTTGCCTATGAAAGTGACTGTTCAAAAAGGACTAAAACCCCTGTTGAATAACGTAAATGCTATTTGCTAACATTACAGTAAAGGAATGAATGCCAGTCGTGCAAAAGGAATTTTAATTTAATTCAGTAGTAAAGTCGTAGGCTACAATACATGCCATTGCGAGTAAACTCTTTTTAAAACATTGCGGTCTTTCTTTTAAATTGGTGGGTGACACAGCACAAAGTAAAGTATAATTAAAGTCCGTTAGCCAAAGATCTACAAAGTCCTTCACTCTGGTTTAGTGAACACATATGTTTAAGGACCTCTAGCTGCCAGGTTGGACAAAAAAACTATAATGCCAAACGAATGGAGCTCAGCGCAAGTTCAACCATGCAGGAAAACCTTCTTTACTCATTCATTTACTATGCAACGTTTCTACTCTCTCTCCTCTCAATAAGTGATCGGGGGCGTCACTCCCCAGCTTAACCAATTCGCTCTATTCTCACAAGCCTATCATAGCGCTCCGCTATAGCTCTCCCCCCTCTGTCAGCTGTCATTTCAGGAGACTCAACGCAACGCTCCTCCAGCCCTTTTCACCGTCCTGTCCCTCCGGATCCAGGGTCAAGCTAAGCCACACCCCTTCAGACCGAACCCAACTATCCATTCACCACCACCAGTGTCTAGACCCCGGGGGGTTTCATCGGATCGGAGTTTTCCCCTCCCGAATGATACTTCCTGAACAACGGGGCCTAATCGCCAAAACTCCATTACATTCATTTGTGTATTCCTGGCATTACATATGTATTCTTACATCAAAACCGTGTCTCCTGATTGAAATGTTGTTAACCTTCAGTGCTTTTTCTATCATTTCTGACATTTAAACATGTTTACACCTTTTTATTAATAAAATAAAGTGTATGGTCTATACCAATTATTACCCCTTCCAATTATTTGCATACAAAATGCAATTTGATTATTTAATAAACAAACTCATTACCTTATTTTACAAGGGTTACTGAACCCCATACACATATCTAAATCTAGCAGATTAACTTAAAATCAATTCCAAGATTTTGCATCTGGCAAATCAAGAGCTTATCTAAACTTTTAGAAAATGGTAACAGAAAAGTGCGAATGTTAAAGAAAGGATCAAGGAGTGTCTTTCTAAATGACTAATACAAATCTGAATAACACAGGTTCAGGTGCTCGCTATGCAAACTCCAAATAATGTTTACTTACCCAACAAAGGGAGTTGTATAGAGTAGACATGTTTGCTAAGATTTACCAGTCACAGTGCAAGGTACTGACTATAGTTTCTTAAGGCATAAAACCACTGTAAAGCATATGTGTAGGTCAGAATCTGCTTTATTTAGGGAATATTTAACAACAAAAAAGTACTTCTTGATTTAAAATATGTCTGCACTACACTTAGTTCATGTTACACTGACAAAGAATTTAGATTGAATATGCATTTGTTTGTGTTGAATATAGAACAGCTGTAGTTAAATGTGCATTATGTTGGTGTGTTTTGATAATGGAACAAATGTACCCCCATTAATGCTAAAGGTTAGAATATTTCTATAATAACAATTTTGCGGTGCTTTTTATATAAAAACGTGGAGCCTCATGGGCACCAAGCCTTGTTTGTTTGAGTCCGTTTGCACAGGAAGGCACTGCAGCAGAGTAACGTTTGGTTTATAAAAGATTCACACTAAAATCTCACTTCATCGCTCCTCTTATCCTCTCAGCCACAGGTGTCCATGCTACATATATTAAGCCTGCTGCATGGGTTACTCTCATAGTTGCCATGCAATCCAGGGTCACATGATGAGTGAAAAAAGGTATTAGATTAAAAAAGAACAAGAGATTAACATTTAAAAACAAATTGTGTTGTTTATGAGTCTTACGGCTTTTCTAATGTCTTAATCTGTAAACCTTCCTGATGTTATTTTAGTTTCTACTTTTATCATGCAGATATAAAAACCAGTTAAAGCATGCTAATGTAAAAATGACATATCAAACTAGACCTGCCATAATTCATGTTATGTATGGCAAGTCTGTCACTGAAAAGTCACACTACCAAAGTCCTGAAAACTGTTAAAATATTAATAATACACCTATATTTGACATCGGACAGATAAAAATGGCAGTAGGTCATATGTGAACAGATAGGTGAGCAGTTCAGGGTTAGTTGTGTTTGACCTGTGTTTTGGATCCAGACATATCGAATAATATTGAAACCTATGTCCCTATTTTCTTTATTAATCTCTGTTAGTCCAATGTCTGCAAGACTTTCCCTTGAGTTAAACGTAAAAAAATACACATTTACAGTATTTTTTTCTCCAGTTGACCGTTGACCTCTCCATTGCCCTCGCTCAGACCGGTCACATCTGTGGTGCACTTGATCCTCAGCAGGGCGTTGGAGAGCACGTCCTGATACAGGCTGATGCCAACCCAGCCCGGCAGGTACAGCAACGTGATGAGGCCCATGAAGTTGTAGGGGTAGTGGGAGTAGTCCCAGGAGCAGGCTCCGAACTGCCGGAGGACCAGGCCCCAGGAGAACTCCCAGGCGTAGATGAAGCAGACGTAGAAGGGGAGCCTCCGCCACGGGCCCCAGCCTCTCCTGAAGCGCAGGTGGAAGTAGAGCTTCTCCACCAGGAAGCTGCAGCTGCCGTACATCAGGAAGGACCACAGGGATGTGTGGCCACTCAGGCTCCGGTCAGACTTCTCCACCAGGTTAAAAACAGAGGTGAAGACCACCTCATCCAGAAAGCCGTGCATCCCAAAGAACAGGAAACGCACAACGCCTGGCAGACCTTGAAGGGGATCATGACCTCTGTCCACCAGGCTGGGTTTGCATGCAGGGTCTGGGGTGCAGGGGGTGTGCAACCTCAGTTTTGACAGCCCTCTGTGGAACACCAGTCCAAAATACAGAGCCAGGATGTAATGCACCACCAGCTGCGTGCCGGACACCACCCTCACCTGCTCCGTCAGGGTGTTGATGTTCCCGATGAGGATCTGCAGCCCGATGTAGATGGAGGGGTAGAAAACCAGATGGAAGACCACAGGCCGATCTCGGAAACACCTTTTCTGTGAGAAGATCTTCTCCAGCGCGAAGTGGGTCAGTGAATGCATGACGCACAGATACGGGGAAGAGAAGCCCACCAGTTTGGGGTCTCTGTGGTTTAAAAACCCCTGCAGCGACGAGAGCAGGACATCCAGAGTCACGCCGTGCATCCCGTAGAAGTACAGCCGCATCCATCGAGGCAGCTCCCGCAGAGACCCCTCCGCGTCCCCTGCTCCTCCGGATGGTTTCTGTCTGATGGGCATCTTTACCGGTGTCAGGCCCCCGGGATCAGGGTCTGTTGCTCGGCTCCGAGCACCGTCTCTGGCCATGATCAGTCACTTGTTGTTCAGAGGTTCAGCTTCCTTCCCACACATTGTTGTCTGTGTTCCGCTGCGGCTGCAAGCATCTCCTGCACCGCATGGCTACGTTCACGTACCTCGTGGAAAACACGTTTCTTTGTAAACACCAGCTTGAGAAAGCAACTGGACAACAAACGTTTGGTTCAAATTGCAGTCAGTGCTACTCACAGTAACGTGTAAACCTGCAAACATCTAACTTTGTTTCTATCTGTACACATTAAGTATCTTACATTTAGTTCAAAGACGTTTGCCTTGAGGCATTTTAATTTTCCATTTTTTTTCCAGCTGTCTGCCACATTGTTTATTTATGTTGACCATGATAGTTTGCTAATGCTTTTGTTTTGAATAACGACATATGACTAGAAGTGGGTCAAGTACTCAGATCCTATATGTAAGTAAAAGCACCAGAGTGTAGGAATACTCTGTAAAAGTATAAGGTGCAGCTAGTTTTATTGACTTTGTAGCAGGGTAGCTTGTGAATTTACTTCAGGTGGAACTAAAGTCTGATTTAAGTGAAGATTATTTTTCACATCATTAATCTATATCTGCAAAGTAACTAAAGTTATTAAATAAATGTAGTTGAGTAAAGGTACACTAACTACCTCTGATATTTAGTGTAGTAGAAGTACACAGTAGCAATCAATCAAAAAGACTCAAGTATGTACACATACCTCAATATTGTACCTAAGTACAGTACTTGAGTAAATCTAGTTTACACCACTGACAAGAACAAACGTTCTCCTCACACGTGACACTGAGTGAGTCATGTATTGTTTACAGCCAGTCTTCTCCTCCCCTCCTTTATGGCACACTGCCAAGTACACCAACCGTTGATCTGTATGCAAGAGTAAAACCTTAACCTTAACTAATGATGTTTATTCATAAGTCATACGCAGTGGTGGAAAGTAACTAAGTACATTTACTCAAGTATTATACTGAGGTACAATTTTGAGGGACTTGAGTATTTCAATTCTTTGCTACTTTGTACTTCTACCCCACTACAATTCAGAGGTAAATTGTGTACTTTTACTCCACTACATGTATTACCTTTAGTTACTTCACAGATCTGGATGAATGATGTGAAATATAATCAAGTGTTAAATCAGACTTTAGTTCCACCTGGAGTAAATCCACCAGCTACCCTGCAGTATACAAAGTCATTCAAACTAGCTGCACCTTTACCAGCTTTGAGAACACTTTCATGATCAATCATTATAAAACATATATATTATTCTGAAATGGACCAATCTGCACAATGACTTTAACTTTTGGTACTTTAAGTATATTTTGATGCCAATACTTTTGCACTTTTACTTGTAACAGAGTATTCTTACACTCTGGTACTTCTACTTTTACTCAAGTACAAGATCTGAATACTTCACCCATGTCGAAACAAAAATAAATGGCAAACTATTATTGTCAAAATAAATAAACAACGTGGCAGCTATAGTGAATAAAATAGAAACTGTAAAATACCTCAAGGCAAACATATTTAGAAGTTGACTAAAGGTGTGCCAATAGAAACAAGTTCGATATGTGCATACACGTTTCAATGTGCTGAGGTCATCACAGTCACTTTGTGCTGTGTGTTTTTTGCATCACACGAACAATGTTTCCACATTTCCAACAGCCCCTGAAGGCAGCACAGGAGGGTAAATGATGGAGGAGGTTCTGCAGCTGTATTTCTGTGGTGGAGATGGGACAGTGAGGCTCTGCCAGGGTTATTAATAAAACTCAAGTTCCCCTGCGACGTCCTGACGCTGTTTAATTACGACTCACTAATTATAATTACATCAGAACACTCTGCTGTAATATCAGAACAACACGGGCCATCAGAAGAGCCATTTGTTAATGCAGCAGGCCTTCATTAATCCATCAACTCATCAGGATGTTCACTGTTACAAGAGGTAGTATAGACTATCCTGCGTGATAAAAGATGAAGCATAGATAGATGGCCTTTTATGTAAGTGTTGTTGATTATTGGGAACATACCGAATATACTCTCAATATCAGAGTAAAATGATAACAAAGGTATCTCAACTGTAGCTGTGAACATGACAGGATGTCTGATTACCTAGAAGAGCATCAGGACTGTTTCAGGCATATGATAGCTATGTGATTAACATGATGATTCAGAGACATATGACAAGCATGCTCATTTCTGACGTGGAGCTAATCTGAAGTAAACATTGAATACTGCTTTCTATTCCTCCATCTTGTGACTGTGTGACTCCCTCTCTTGGATATCAGCATGCGAAGGACACTGCTCAGGAACTAGTTGATGCTCTGTATGTGATGACTACTTCCATTCTGGAGAGGATCACAAATACATGGATCCTGATTATTGAAGCTCAAGCCGGTGACGAGTGATATTTTTCCATCAGTAATGAGCAAAGTGAAGAAGATTTGGTTGTTGATGTATTAATGGAGGACATGCAGCCCGGCCACAATGTCTCCAACCACTTCCCTAATGGGTTTCCTGTCTTTCTATTGATGCATTGTTGTTATGAGCTGTAAATAATAAGTACAAGTTCTTCTTGCAATGTATCTTAAAGGTTAAGCTCTAACTTGGGTTCAGACTAGGGGGTTTCTTGGTTTTTCCTGTTTGCAGTATGAGTTTATTTGAGTTTTTATTCTAATAGGTTTCTCAGTATATTCACAATATTTGTTTGCATTTTGTGAGGGCTGTGTGAGTGTCAGCATACAGCATGCAGTTGTGTGTGTCCAAATGTTTCTCTGTGTGTATTTGTGTTATCAGGACAAATGTGGGGGTGCACTGAGAGGAAATAGAGATATATCAGGTCTTTCTGAGCCACAGAGATAACAGCGTGTCTGTGCATGGTTTAACCGATTCAAACCACTTCTGCACACATCAGCCTGTAGTGCAAAATCAAACATATTTACAGTCTGAAAAACATGAAAAAAAATTATTAAATAAACCAATTCCTTCAATAAGGAAATACAATTTATACAGTGAAAGCATTTTCTGCTCCCTCCTTACAAATACATCAGAGACATGCAATATTTTTAATAAACCACTTCAGGAATAAACATGTTTTTATCACACAGGCCATAACAACTCTTGAGCTTGCACTATTTTTATTTATTTATATTGTTTTTTTAACGTCTTATATATATTTATGTTGCACTGTTGGAGGAACCTGTGACCTCATATTTAATGCAAAACTAAACAATAAAACCTTTAAACTATGAAAACTATGAACCGTGGTTATTTATTATAACAATTAATAAGCATTCATCATTAACAAACAGAAAAAGAAAAAAAATGCTCTCACGTGACCTCATGATTGCACATTGAAATGACGCTCCTCGGTATTTTCAAAAATAAACTCTACCTGGAGAGACGAATCTGCCGTTCACTGCCATTCATGTAAGTGTAAACCACGTGAGTTTAATGTACGTTTAAATCGGTTTAAATACATGTAGAACCGACACGTGTGCACCTGTGGTGGCACTACAGAAACGGGAAAAGGGACGGTAGGGAAGTTTAATGACTATTTACTAATTTACTGACGAACAGAAGGGAGAAGGAAATGTTTGGTAAGTGTGTGTGTGCGCGTGTGAACGTGTGTCCCCACTTTAAATTGCTGCATTACATTTTCTCAATCTCCAGTCCACTTTAATCTGCATTATAAATACGATTATAAAAGTGATAGATAATACACTTGGACAGTTTCTCCTGGAATATTGAGTAATAAAGCTTATTTTAGAGTTAAAAACAGTACAAGTTGAGCTTTTCTGGCCTGAGTAGTCACAATTGTGCTTTATTGCTAACAATTTATCAACACATGTGTCCATATATGTAAATACTGTAATTTAACTATATGTTTGTATAATCTATACTCACTGCATGCCTATCCTCTGCAATTAAAAGGACATTTTCAGATCAATTCTAATTCACTTCATTGTCAACACTAAGTAGTCTTGACCATTTAAAATGTTTAATGTTAATTAATGGATACCTTACATACTTACTCTGTTGCTGTAATGACACGTGAATGTTCCTTCAGGGATTAATAAATGTCCATCTTATTTTATACCATATGCCATCTTTTAACTGCAAGCTGTATAAAACAACCACCTTCTGTGTTCATAAACATATTGCAAGTAAGTTTAAAACAAGGTCTGCTATTCAAATAACGTGGGAATTATGAATCAGACGCAGTTAACCTTGGGGGTCTCGGATAATAATCTGTTTCTAATATAATTTGATTCAGTGAGAGAGATAGAAGAAGTCAGCGCTGACTCATATATTGGATCCCTTTTGTATTACTGTGCTATATTCCAATTACATTTCTCAGAGGACATAAAGCCCCTGACAAAAAATATTCATTATTTCATAGAGTTAAATGAGAAAAACAGAAATGTAATTCAGATACGAATGACGTCACAAAGTTATTGTGCAACTCTTGTGGGTGGGAGCCACTCAAACTAATCATATCCTCATGTGGTAGTACTGTTTCTGAATAGATGTCAACAATAAAACTCCTGCTGTATCTATAGTTTTATATCCGTCTTATGTGTATTCTTACAATTTACTCCATTACTGTTAGGATCTGTCTGTGTTGTAGTTTTGTATGTCTGGTTATGGGTATTTTCATCCTTGTATATTGTCTGGTCCTTCTTCCTGTGTTTTTCCTCCCGTCGTTAGTTTCCCTGGTGTGTCTAGTTGTCTGATTGTTTTCACCTGTGGCCCTTGTGTTTCTCTCCCCTGCCCGGCTGTGTCTCGTCTTGTGATTACCCCTTCCTGTTTTTAGTCTTGTCTCTTCCTGTGTTCAGTGTCGGTTCGTCTTGTGTAATGACTTGGTCTGCGGTGAGTGTTCTGTTCTGTCTCTGTATATTGTAGCCTTGAAATAAAGGAATTATTTTGGTCACTTAAATCTGCTTCCTGCACACCGTAACAATTACACTGCACTTTACTGCTTCTTTTGCACTTCTGGTTAGACTGCATTCGACAGTTCAGGGGAGTCTAATCTAATAAAATGTAATGCTCATCCCCTTTTCTCCTTGGCCAAGTTTCCAAAAACCTCCAGTGTATGACATCA